GACTCCTTCATTTTGAATAATTTTTTTTAAACCATCAATTACTGATATGTATCGACCACTTTCTTTTGAAGATTGACGAAGTTGCATACGTGATTTAACAACACTATATATATTAATGATTGACACAAATTAATAAATATTCAAAAATATATATATATATAGTATATACATATGTAACTTACATATAAGGATAGGTTAATCCGGTGGCAATGAGTTTGCTAACAGCACCTAATAAGAAAAAGTCAAGATTTCCTAATTTCCTAAATTTCTCTAATTGAACTTTTAATTGTTCAAACGAAGTATATTGAATAATTGGGTTGATAACCAAGATAAGAGCAGGAATAACACCTTGCCAGAAGGACATAATCCCGTCTTCTTCAATAATTTTCATAACTGTTGAGATAGTTCCTAATCTTTTTGTTTTTCCTTGATTTACACTTGACTGGCTGGTAGTACTTTCATCTAGAGATTCTTTACGTGTTGTCATACGAGTCTAAATTTTCATAATGTACGTTCAAAAATTATATCATTCTGTCATATAGAGTAGGTGGCATGCCCCTATATAAGGTAAATATGTAATTCGGAAGATATGGGTAAAGTGAAGGATTACTAACATACTCTTATTAAATCAATTAATAACCATATCCTCCAAATTACCCATATTTACTGCCAACTGTGACTACATATTAAAGACAAATTTTTACTATCTGCTATATAAATCGAAATTAATATATTAAGTAATATTGTTAGTGAGATAATACTGTATATCTGATAACTTAAATACTGCAATAATGTATTAAAGTTTATATAATGCAAAAAATTTTACTTAGTACACTAGTAAAATTTTATCTTTACGATGTAATAGTACAGTAGCCAATCATGTCTCAAAACCACGTGACAAACATATGGTAAGGGACAAAAATTGGACATACTGTATAAAAATTTAATATGTCCAATTCAGACAAAAATAATTGGACATATAGACGGACCCAACCCTGGGTAGAGGCATCCTGAAGGCATGCCCCCAGGCATGCCTTAGGACACCATGCCACCTACCCCTACTGTCATAACAATAAATATTAAAAAAAAAAAGTTTAATCATACATTAACCACCCAAATAGGGTTCGTGACTACAGCGGTTAAAGCACCGGCTATAGCGCCTGAAAGCATAGATTCTTTGATTGAGATAGGACGTTTTTGTTGTGCAGATTTTTCAAATATTTCCTTGGTCCACTCGTAAAAATAATAATAAACACCTATATTAGAATTAAACTTTATTATTCTCAAATAAAAAAATAAAAATAAAAACTCTGAAAAAAAATTTATACTATATTAACAAACCATTCGTAACGGCAATACCGAATATGGCAGAACTAACTCCACTGAGTATATAATATATATTAAAAAAAAAGAATTAAGATAAATAATATATTAAAAAATCCAAATTTTATTAAATATGCTTAAATTCTTACGAATATAATCCACTAAAACCTTCTTGATTTATAATCTTTAAAATAGCATCCCTCCCACCCTACGTGTTTTCACAGATCAACAAAATGTAACTATAACTAACAATACTTAATAAAAAAAAAATTTTATTTTTTTATTTTTTTTACTTTATAAGCCCCAATTTCCTTATTATCTTTTTGAACCTGAAGTCTAGAACTAACTGTTATTAAAGGGTATGTTAAAGCCATAGAAACGATACCACCAGCGGCGCCTAAATATAAAAGAATTGTTTAAAATCATTTTCAATCAGAGTTGAAGAATCCTTTCGAATGCTTTTGTCTTACCGCTGAGTGCGTGAGCTACATTATCAGACATAATTATTAACTCTCTCGGGTGGAGTAAAAAGACTAAAAGACTAAAGAAAAGACAAAGATTAGATTGATCAGTTTATCAAAATCTAAAATACCATTGGTTGATGGGATCTGATAAGCATCGTATTACTGTACTAAAAAAAATCTTTATTCGTTATCGTATAATATTTTTATATCAATATTTGTAAAAAAAAAATG